GTTAATATATTTTGCTCCTGGTCTCTTTCACCTGACACCAATCTGTCTTTTAAACAGAAAATTTGCATTTCCTCCTACACAGTCAAATCTCCTCTCCTACTTTTATCTTTTGCAGTAATGAATAAAAGAGCAGCTGTCACAGCTATTGAAGCAGCCTAACAAGGAACAGCACTTTTGAGTTTAAGGAGTGTCTTGAGGAAGATATTAGTCAATGTTTCTCAAACACATAAATCATAGACTATAGGGGGGAAACCACCACCACTCTTTCACTGGTTTCCCAGCAGTGAATCTGGCATGGACACCAGGAAACGGCTGGAAATCTTGGTTTCTCTCACTCTCCTCGGATTTCAAACAGCACCTGAGTTCCCTAGAGATATGTATATATAATTGTAAAAAAAATTATCATGAGCATACAGCTGTGCTTTGCCTCTGGCTTATAAAATGGTGTTAAATATGTTTGTTCTGAATAGTTAGGGTTTTTGGATAGGTGTTCCTTGTTTGTAAGCATAAATTACTGGGTTGAGGCAGAACTAGATGTGGGAATTGGAAGGACGACTCACCTCCCTGAGACAGGAAGCAACTCAACAATCCAGCATTTGATTTGGTGGTTGGTCTGCCCGTAACACAAACTATTACCCTTAGTATGCTACATCTGACTTCAGAAGTAGTCAAGTAGTGTTTATTCCTCTGGCCTAATTATAAGCAAGTGTGTTTTCACAATTGATGCTAACATCTTGGGATTCCCCCATATTACCACAATTGGAGTTACTGTGGTGAGAGCAGGAGAAAACAATTTAAAAATGAAATTAAAATCTGTTTTGTTGTCATTTGTTCTGCAAATCTGGGAAATTCAATCCTGGCACCGTTATTGGTGTATGTCTGATGTTTTATGATAATCAAAACTGGAAGGAATTAGCAAGTGGCCTTAACCAAATGCAACATTTATTATGCCCTATTTATACTTGGAGTGGGGAACCTGTGACCCTTCCAACTCCCATCCAAGATAGCCAATGGTCAGGGATGATGTTCAAGAACACCCGAAGGGCCTCACATTCTCCACCTTGATTTACAAGGTAGGTTAAGGTGTCCACCTAGCTTCTGTTTGTCGCATGAGGCTGCCCCCTTTGCATCTGGCTTCTTAACTCAGAAAAGGGAAGTCCTCTTAAAGGACAGGCACATGGTTCTACCAAACCAGGCACATGGTTCTTTGAAGCTGCCATACTTCAGGTTCATGGTGAACCTGAAGTATGGCAGCTTCAAAGTGAGAATTATTTGTAGGAAAGTTTACTGTTACTCAGTTAAAGCAGAGGCAGAATGCCATCTGCAATTTCCATGCAGTATGAGGGACACATTGATTTTTTTTAAAGAACAGGAAGCTTGCCAAGCCTCAGGCTATCACAGGCACATGTGTCTATTTTAGATGGAGCTATGTAAGGGCAATAGTAAGGGACAATATAATCTAGTCTTAGTTCCTTTTCCGACAGGAAATCATGGCAACCACAATGTTTCCTCTCTAAGGACTCTGGCAATATCTTCCATACAGCCATATGTTTAATACGCTTGTCTGTGTTACTGGCTATTGTGTCAGGAGGCTAATACATGCACTTGGGTCTGATGCTGTGGCAATTCATCATTCACCTTGGTGGTATGCATGCCTTGTAACACAAGTTGCAAAGAGTGGGTTCTAAAACAGAAATGGGACTTTCCCCCCACAGTACAGGATCAGGGTTCTGCCTGAATATGCATGTTTTTAATGAGAGGTGTTCAGGGAAGCAGACTGTGGCATCAAGTGCCTCAAATGTTTGGAGCAACAAAGACATAAGGAGAGAATTTTCTGAGACTATGACAAGGGCTTGAATTAGATTCTGGAAGATGGGGCAGGGAGGGTTATAACAGCTCCTCTTCCCTCACACAATCCCCCCAAAGCAGAATGCTGTATCCCATGTACAGCAGCTGGTGGCCAGAATATTATTTTTCCCTTGTGGGCAATAGATGCTAGTTAGAACACTCTTTTTTCTCACTACAGTCTACACAGTTCTTTCCTTATTTACAGTATATACCATCCACTAACAAACGTTCTCTGTGGTTTACATTTGGGGTTACTGTATTTCTTTTAAAAACAGATTTCTTTAAAATTCATCTTATATGATTATGCAGCCATATATGACAACCAGCAAAGTATTAAAATTTCAAATTAGCAGCAGCAAATGTTTAAAGTCCCATAAAATTACCCCAATTCTATGCTGAATGAGCAAGTGTCCAAATCTCTCTCCTCAAGGTCAACACATTTCCCTAAGAATATTCTGCTGGTACTGATCAGGCAGCCCTTACTGGTGGCTCGAGAGAAAGGCCAAGGATACTGATCTTCAAGCTCAGGAAATTCATATGGATGTAAACTAACCTGTGGCCCTGAAAATACTGCTGGACTACATTTTCCTTCACCCTTGACCACTGGGCATGGTAGATGGGAACGATGGGATTTGGAGTCCAATAACATCTGCAGCACTATAGGCTAGTTGCCACAGATTTAGGGCTTTCAGGGTTAGTACGAACACCATATATTGGACCCAGAAATGGAAAGACGGCTGATGTGACTGGTACAGAACAGGCATAATATGATCAAAATAAATAACTTGTACAAGTGTTTTAGCTGCTGCGTTCTTCGCCAATTGAAGTTTTTCAGGTGTCATTAAGAGCAGCCCCACATAGAACACATTACAATAATCTAAAACATGAACATAATTAACACATGTGTCACTGACGTGAGCTCTGCTTTCTCTTGACAAGACCACAGCTAGCAAACCAGTCAAAGCTGGTAAAAAGCATATCTCTCGCCACCAATACCACCTGAGGATCCATAGATGATACTGAATCCAGGAGTTCTTCTGACCTGGTTTGTGCATAATGCTAATCCTTGGCTTACCGCAAACATGTGAGGGTGCACATCCTTGGAATGGAGATCACATCTGCTTTACTCCTCCTCTGGTCTTGCTGCTGCTGCACTTCTGTGAACTAAGCCATAGTTTTGCTTAGCGCGTTGCCCAAAGCCAGACATGGTTTGTCTGGAGAAGTCAAATAATGAACCCAGGTCAAACAGCACACTAAGCCAGGGCCATCTTACCCATAGGCATTAGGGGTGTGGGGCACCCAGGCGCCAGGCTCTCAGGGGAGCCAGACCGAGAGTCCGGGACCCGAGAGTTGAGTCCGGGGAAGAGCCTGCCCATTGGAGCGCCGCAGCGGGCTTGTCTGCTGCAGGTGGCTCTGTGCCGCGAGTTCAGGGGCGACCGAGCCAGGAAGACACTGAGGCGGGCGGGCAGCTCCGCCCTCCTGCACGCCTGGGACTAGGCAACCGGGGGGGGGGGGCGCTGGGTGGATCTTTGCACCCCAGTGCCACATATGTTTAAGCCAAATCATGGCTTAGTGCAGTGCAATAGTATCACAAGCAGAGATGGGGCAAAACAGACACAGTCTCCTCCAGGAGCCCACGCACTTGCGTAATCAAATGAGCGTATGGTTTGGCTTAGCATTAAGTGTGAACAGAGCCGATCTGTGCACCATAAGTTTGTTTATCAGGGTATAGAGAAAAGGGCAACATAAACAATTTCAGATATCTAATGATTGAGGGAATTGTCATTGATTTAGAGCAAGATGGAGTTTATGGGTCACTGCAATTCCAAGCAATCAAGATAGCTTTGTGTACACTTCTCTTTAAAAGGGTCCCTTGAGGTTTGAACTGAACATGCATTAACAATTCAAAGGATTATTTGAAAATAATTTTCCATGTCTGTCAGAGTACCTCTTAATAGTCCTTAATTACTTATCATTTGATTTGTCTCCCATCTCATTTCCAGAGACTCATGTTGACAGCAAGTTTGATTGCTTATGCATATAAGACGAGGATGAAGAGAGACTGCCATGATTATCCAGATATGTCAAATTTTCGCTCCTGGAGACAGGAGATATTTTCATTCTTAATTTTATTAACAGCATTTCACTTCAAGGAAAATATTGAAGTATCCATACTTACTTTTACTTTTAGTCTAAGGCTACCGTATTTTTCGCTCCATAAGACACACTTTTTCCCTCCTAAAAAGTAAGGGGAAATGTGTGTGCGTCTTATGGAGCGAATGCAGGGGGGAGGCAGGCGGGAAAAGCCCCCCAAGAGCTGCACACCGCGCGGCTCTTGCGGGCTTTTCCCCAGGAGGGAGAAGGGACTGACTGGCCGTGTCAGTCCCTTCTCCCTCCTCATAGAAAAGCCCGCAGGAGCCGCACACTCTTTAAAGTGTGTGCGGCTCCTGTGGGCTTTTGCGGGAGGTGGGGAATACTCCCAGAGCTGCTCTTTGGGGCTGGGGGGGGGGAAATCCGGGCTTCCCCTGCCAGCCCCGACAAGCTCCTAAGCAGCTCTGGGGTAGCCAGTGAAGCCTCCACAGGGCAGCGGGATGAAGGCTCCCCGCTGCCCTGCGAAGGGTTCGCGGGCTACCCCAGAAACCAGAACAGCTAGAGAGCATGCTGCGCAGCGCTCCCTCTAGCTGTTTTAGCTTCTACCTTGGCGGCGCAAAGCCTCCGCAGGGCAGCGGGGAGCCTTCATCCCACTGCCCTGTGGAGGCTTCGCGCAGCTATCCCTGGCTTTTGCGGGTGGGGGAAGGGACAGAGCATACAGGCTCTGCTCAGTGCTCCCTTTAAATTTTTTTTTTCTTGAATCCCCCCTCTAAAAACTAGGTGCACCTTATGGTCAGGTGCACCTTATGGAGCGAAAAATATGGTAATTGCTGGTAGGGGAATTACATGACTCATACTATATAGATCATGTATTCTGACCTGCCCCCCCCCCCAATTTTTGCAGTCCCAAAGAGGCAGAAAGAAACAGGAGGTTTATTTACTTCCTGATAATAAACATACCAAAACAGACCTTTGCCCATCTAGCTCAATATTGTCTTCACAGACTGGCAGCAGTTCAGCAGGTTTCAAACAGGGACTTTCCCAACCCTAGCTATAGAGGCCAGTGATTGAACCCGAGACCTGCCTACAAAGCCTGTGCTCTGTCATTCTGCTACAGTCCCACCTCTGGCTGCTGAGTGGCAGATAGAATGGTATTTCACAGGTTTTGCTATGCACATTCCATGATAAAGTATCAGTGAAGGAGTAAACATAAACCACTTGTTGAGCACAGCCAAGCTCATGTGAATCTTTTGTATCTTGTGACCAACCCTATCATAGCTATGTGTAATGTCTATAAACAGCTGCATACACGGTGACAGAAGCACCCTCATTTCACAGACCAATAGATACCTTACAGTGCTGCAAGAGGCAGGGCTTGTGAAAAGCCCAATTAGACATCATTTTGCGCCAAATTAAGTCATCCCACTTTGGCTTGGTAACAGACACTAGCATCTAAAGCGGAAATTCTCTGAGAGCTATATAGTGTTTTATCTGACAACTCCCGGTATGAACCTGACCCTTTCTCTCCAGTTGTCAGCCTCCAGTTCTCCCTGCACAGGGCTGGATTTAGGTTTGATGAGGCCCTAAGCTACTGAAGGTAATGGGGCCCTTTATATGTCCAGCTGTTCTTCATCAACAACAAATTGTTGCTGTTTTTTGTGTTGAATATATGCTATATGGTAATTTATGGACCTAATAGGTATCTAAAGCCATTTGCACATGCAAAATGTAGGCACCCTATATATAGAAATGAGCAAACCAGTGATATTTGAGGGAGCAGGCTAGCAGGCGGGGCCCATTACTTACATCATAGGAGCCCACACAACACAAAACACTGTTGCTGTATGTAGGTTTTATTTTATTTGTTTTTTATCTAATATTTTGGAAATCTACATCCAGTTTTTCCCCCCTTTAAATTTTTTTGGGGCCCTAAGCTATGGCTTGTTTAGCTTATACGGAAATCCGGCACTGTCCCTGCACAACGCTTGCTGCCTGCCAGGGCAATGCTCATCCAGCAACAACAGTAGCAGTCACCACCACTGCTGTTGTGGGTAACTTTCTGCCCTTCTCCTCACAAGCTCCTTCGCTGCTCCTTCAGAAGAAGATGGCAGCTGGGGGCAGGTCTGAAATTCACAGTCCCAGAACAGGGGGATAAAGAAAAAGAAGAAAAAGGGAGCAGCTGAACAGCAGCAACTGTACAGGTTAAAATGGCCAGGGTTGTAAGTTGCACAGGGATCCTACACCATGGGTAGGCAAATTAAGGCCTGGGGGCCGGATCCGGCCCAATCACCTTCTAAATCCGGCCTGCAGATGGTCCGGAAATCGACGTGTTTTTACATGAGTAGAATGTGTCCTTTTATTTAAAATGCATCACTGGGTTATTTGTGGGGCATAGGAATTCGTTCATATTTTTTAAAAAAATATAGTCGGCCTCCCACAAGGTCTGAGGGACAGTGGACTGGCCCCCTGCTGAAAAAGTTTGCTGACCCCTGTCCTACACCGTAGCAGAGGCTCCCCACTTCAGACTCCGCTACCAACGTGTGGAAGGCGACGGCCAGGTGATGTGACAGAGGGGGCAAGGGCAAAAAGTGCAGCCCCCTTCTCCCTCCCAGAAAGAGTGAATGCCCAATAGTTTGCAGTTGCATTGAATCACCTTATTCATAAACTGTTCCCAAGAGAAAGCAAAGGCGCTTAGCATTTATGCTGCAGTTGGGCTGCACAGCAGAGGGTAAGTTATATTGGAAGTACATTTCCCTGACATTATGGGACTTGCTTTCAAGTACCATGTTTGGAGTTGAGATGACAAACTGGCCGTGCCTGGAAAGAATTAAAAGCCATAATCGAATTGAGGGGCAGCCTTTATTTTTACACATAAATCATTAGCACTATGCTAGCAGCACACCCGCGGAGAGTTTATAAGGCTGCACTGGGAGAAAAATAACATAATGTGCCTTATTTTAAAGTCAGTTTGAAGGTTATTTAAAAGAATCAAAGGGAAAAGATATGGATTCAGCTCCCATGAGATAGTAAAAGAAAAATTGCACTGTGACAACAGAGTGAGATGTTAGCTCGCATGCACTCTGCAAGGGAGAGATATTGGGCAATGGGGGGGGGAGTAGCAAATCATAGGATAATGCAAACAAAAGATATTGAATGAAGGGCTTAGGGAAAAATTAAGTAGAAAGAAAATCTTATGGACTCCTGCCTGTGGGGGGGGGGTGTATGTACTCTGCAACATGTAATTGATGCATTAATAGTTCATTGGTGGCGGATTTATGCTGGACTGGCTGTTTACACATCATTCTGCTTTATTAGTTCTGTGATGCTTCCTCAACGCTACCATATTGTTGCCATCTGGAGGAGCACTCTTGCACTATAGCTCAACAGAAGTGGGACAAAGAATAAACTGGGACATTTGTGATATAAAAAGTTACAGGATTTCAGCGGGAAGTTACAGGACATGCAGACTGGAAACAAAGCAGTATAACTGCCCCAAAACTTTTGCATGCAAAAACTTTATTAAAATTAAGTAAAGGTAAAGGGACCCCGACCGTTAAATCCAGTCGCGGACGACTCTGGGATTGCAGCACTCATCTCACTTTACTGGCCGAGGGAGCCGGCGTACAGCTCCCGGGTTATGTGGCCAGCATGACTAAACTGCTTCTGGCGAACCAGAGCAGTGCACAGAATTGCCGTTTACCTTCCCACCGCAGCGGTACCTATTTATCTACTTGCACTTTGACGTGCTTTTGAACTGCAAGTTGGCAGGAGCAGGGACCGAGCAACAGGAGCTCACCCCATCGCGGGGATTCAAACCTCCGACCTTCTGATCGGCAAGCCCAAGGCTCAGTGGTTTAGACCACAGCGCCACCCACGTTATTAAAAGTAGGATTACGTTTAACTGCCCCAAAAGATGCAGCCATTGTTCCTCTGTATGTCATAAAGCCTGCATGCACACATTGATCATTTATTTATTGCATTTATACTGTACCTCCCCCCCCCCAGAGCTTTGGGTGGTGTAGGTGGTTCTCCCTCTCCTCATGTAATCCCCATCACATCTCTGTGAAGTAGATTTAGGCTGAGAGACCGTGACTGGTACACGGTCACACAATGAGCTTCATGACTAAGTGGGGATTTGAACTAGAGTGTGTCATAGTCCAACACTCTAAACACTACACTGTTAGATAAGTATCAATAAAAGCTATGGCTGTTTCAGGCTTTGTGGTGTTTACCAGACCCCTCACCCCTGGTGTTACGTCCAAAGTCTTCATGATGGGGGTGCTTAATGTTAGAATTCCTGCTCCATGATTGCAGTCATAGGATTTTTGTCTATCACATGATGGTATATGTTTTGACTCCACAAAGTGGGAAGTGACGGAGACAGGATGTTTGTGTTACTGTGTTCCATGAAGTGGGACTATTGTCCTTTGTTCTTTTTCTCTTTGCTGACTGATGCTAGAGAGAGAGGGAGCCATGTTGCAGTGCTCCGTGTGTGTTTACAGTGGTACCTCGCAAGACGAATGCCTCGCAAGACGAAAAACTCACAAGACGAAAGGGTTTTTCGTTCTTTGAGTTGCTTCACAAGACGAATTTCCCTATGGGCTTGCTTCGCAAGACGAAAAACGAAAACGTCTTGCAAGTTTGTTTCCTTTTTAATTGATTTTCAATGCATTCCTATGGGAAACCGTGCTTCGCAAGACGAAAAATTCGCAAGACGAAAAAACTCGCAGAACGAATTAATTTCGTCTTGTGAGGCACCACTGTATATGTAAATAAAGTAGATTAGCCAAAATGCTGAGTTGCTGAGGAACTGCGCAGACTCTGCGGATCCCTAAGTGTGCCGGTGTCTGTTGGCATCGGTCGCTGTGATGTTCGGGGAGAAGAAAACTTTTGAAGCTCCCAAATGAAAGACCAGGAGGGAGAGAACATGCCAGTTGGGCCTGTGTCTCTGCCAGGGTCCTACTCAAGTGTAGGACGAGCTCCTGACACTTAATACGAGGAGGGGCAGTAAGTTCCCTGCCAAAGGACTCTTGAAATAATCATCTTGCCCACAGTCTTGCCACCTGAAAGGGTGTGGGGGTGTCATTTATTTATTTATTTTTATTTATTCATTATTTTTATTTTTTATTTTGACAAAGTAATAATCATTAATAAATAAGAATAAAAATGTGCACCCCACCATCGAGATCATTCCATTGTAACTATTCAACCTCCCAAAATTTCAACACCTCCTGCGATGGTTTGACCCCATTCTACAAACACCCTCCATATCTCCTCAAAATCATTCCTCCTGCATGTTCCATGGCACCCATTAATTTATCATTAATAGCTGTATCCCACACCTCTTTATACCATTCTTCCATTTTATATTCTGCTTGCCCCTTCCACTTCCTAGCTATCATAATTTGTGCAGCTGTCAATAAATTTGTAAGCAAGTCCATCATAGCCTGTGAACCTTCCACCCCATCGTGGGGTGGGGTCATTCATTTATGCCATTTTGAGCTCCCCACCCACCCAAGATCTCTTGGCAGCATACTTGTTGCCCCTTCCCTCCTCACAAATACCCTGAGGTCACAATGAAGAACAGCAGCTGTTAGCATGAGATCACCCTGTGGGATTTCTGGCTGAGAAGTGGATTTGAACCCAGGTCCCTCTGACTTAAGTACCCCATGGTGGTGCCTCTCGTTCAGTTATCGTTCTATGGTTATATGCTATTGGGAAGTGTGTATGGCAGTTCTACAAAGAAGCTGTGGCAGGCAAAAACATTCTGCTCCCAGAATAACTTTTGAAGGTGAACAAAGCAGTTTGAACAGATTTCTTTGACATAAAACTGGACTTCTAGGTAGGAAATTGAGTGTGTGTGTGTGTGTGTGTGTGTGTGTGTGTATTTCCATAGAATCAGCAAGGCTGCCATTTCACAGTAATATTTTAAAGCATCGTCCTGCTTTAACAAAAGTGTGTATAAGTGTCAAATATCAAACATTTGCCAGCTAATTAAGTGAAAGTGCCATACCCTAACAGCAAAGCATTTCTTCTCAATGTTATCATAGATAAGCATGCTGGCATCTTTTTTAAAATCTTTTATGGATTACCCTTTCTTTGACAGGGACACTGTGCCAACATTCAACAAGTGTTGATTTACCTATAGCTGTATTCCTCTGAAGGGAGACACTGCACCTGTTGAACTCCTGCGGTTTTTAAAGACACATTGTTCCTTCATTCTTTTGTATTCCCTCCGGTTCACTTGAAATAAAACTGCCAGGAGATCATCCCTTTGTAGCCTAAGTTCTGCTACCATATAACTATTTGTGAAATGGTTAGCATCTGAAATCACAATCAAATAATGCACGTTCCTTTGGCTAAGGCAAGCGATTCAGGATTTCAAGAAGTAAGGTTTTGAAAAGAAAGACAGACTGAGGCTAAATTTGCCCACGGAGATGGAAATAATTATGGTTGGTGTGGGGGGGGGTGCACTCAGACTTGCTAGCATTGTGATATTAGGACTTGGCTTCAGGCACTGATAAGGCTTCCCAGATGTAGTAGTGAGTTCTTGCCGGAAAGTAGAAGAGAGGTAGGCTGCCAGCTTCCAATAGTTGCCATGGGAACCAAAGTACACCAAGCGAGAAGCCATCTAAAAGAGAACCCAGGGGGATAGAACTGGAAAGGGGCAACTGGCAATGTAAGCTGCTGGAAGGCTTCAGCCAAGCAACTGGAAACCAAGCAGGGTAAAAGGGAGGGTGGAGAATCCCTGGTGTTTCAGCAAAGTTGGCTGAAGAAAGTGTGAGTGAGGAGCTGCATTTCCCATCGTAGGCAGGGATGGGGCACCTGTGGCCTTCCAGATGTTGTTACCCTACAGCTCCCTGGCCATTAGCCATGCTAGCTGGGGCTGATAGGTGTTGCGCGTCCAGAAGACCACAGCTTCTCCATCCATGCCGTATGGCAGTGTTTCCCAACCTTGGGCCTCCAGCTGTTTTCAAACTACAATTCCCATCATCCCTGACCACTGATCTTGCTAGCTGAGGATTATGGGAGTTGTAGTCCAAAAACAGCTGGAGGCCCAAGGTTGGGAAATGCTGCCTTATGGCAGTGGTGGCGAACCTATGGCATGCATTGCCAGAGGTGGCACTCAGAGCCCTCTCTGTGGGCACGCGTGCCATTGACCCAGCACAGAGCCGGCAGAAGGCGAGAGCGGTGCGTCGAGTCCTCAGCTCAACTTGGGCAGCCGAGCAGCCGCCTTCCTCTTCCTCCTGCTGACAGGTTGAGGCTTTACACACCCTCTGGCTGGGCCAATGGGAGGCAACAGGCAGGGTGCATCACAAGGGAGCCAGCAGGGGAGGATGGCATCGCTGGCGAGCTCAAGAAGCCATTTTGTTCCAGTCCCGGGTAGCCAGGCAGGGCCGCCACCGCCCCATCCTCATCGCCCTTCACCCGGCACTGGGGCTCCGGGCCCCACCGGCCTCGCCGTGCCATGATCGCCTCCCTCTTTCTGCCATACTTCTTTACCAAGTTCAACCACAGCCAAGTACAGCGAGTGGGGGCACGCCCGGGGCCACACCGGACACACCGCGTAGGGGCCAGTCGGGGCTGGGCGAGGGAGCAGGAAAAACACTGTTGGAATTTATTTTCTCTAAAAGCTGCTCCGACTGCTGCAGAAACAAGTATTTTATCCTAACAGAGAAGATGAGTATCTCATAGAGAAGACAAACCCAGTCTTTGTGGTGGTGATGTCAAAACATATTAACTACACTTACCTTCATGAAGGCAAACAACAGTGTTGAGAATGGGTAATTCTTGTGTTAAAAAGGTAAAGGTAAAGGACCCCTGACAGTTAAGTCGCGAACGACTCTGGGGTTGCGGTGCTCATCTCTCTTTACTGGCCGAGGGAGCCGACGTTTGTCCGCAGACAGTTTTTCCTGGTCATGTGGCCAACATGACTAAGCCGCTTCTGGTGAAACCAGAGCAGCGCATGGAAACACCGTTTACCTTTCCGCCAGACATGCTTTCAAACTGCTAGGTTGGCAGGAGCAGGGACTGAGCAACGGGAGCTCACCCCGTTGCGGGGATTCGAACTGCCGACCTTCCAATTGGCAAGCCCTAGGCTCAGTGGTTTAGGCCACAGCGCCACCCGCATCCTTAATTGTTGGGTTAATGAACCGCAAAAAGATCTATATGCATCTTCTCTTTCAATGCAAACACAGAGAACTTGCCTAGAGTTCACACAAATTCCCCAGATACAAAGCAATATGGTAACCAGATACTGTACTTCTTTCTTAAGGAGTCAGAGTAGTGACAGCTACTGCAGATTGTGCACCAATTCAGGTTAAATGGCCTTGTTGGCACTTTGTGATAAATAAGTGGGTTTTGGGTTTCAGTTTGGGCACTCCGCCTCTAAAAGGTTCACCATCACTGCCTTATGGGAACAGGTACCTCACCTGTTCCTCCCATAGGCCTCATCTGCTTCCCTTTTGCTTCTGCTGTACATTACACCTGGATTTCTGCAGTCAGGAAAAGGAAGTGGGTGCCAGGATCAGGGGAAGAATGGATGGGGGGAAAGCCATCAGGGAGGCAAGAGGTGTGTTGAGGATCTCTCATTTTGCAGCCCTAGGCAGCAGTGCTGAGTCCTCTTGTGGGAAGTAGCTCCCATACAGCTGAGCAAAACCTGACATGAAATTAATTAAATGGCACACTTTTTTTGGAATTAGTATCTTTGGAGTCAGTCAGAGCAGCTGCAGGATGGGGATGGAGAGAGGAGGAGGTTGATTCTTTCTGCCTACCACCTCCCTGACAAAAATGGTCTCTCCCAAGCTGCTATTTACATTTCAGGAGAAGCCTCTGTGGACAGGAATGGAAAGATGCTCAGGTTGAATGTCTAGATTTCCATGAGCAGCATCATAGTTAAATAGGCTTGTAACCAGTCTAAATTTGTAATGTAGATATGCCGAAGGGTATCAGCTTTTCAACCTTCATCTTAACAAGGCCCACTTGGAGGTCAGGTTTATTGATATTGATAGTGCAGGAATTTGGGATTGCAACCTTTTTATATTCTTTACTACAGTAGACTGATTTGTGCCTGGAGGCTGCTAAGGTTGCCATATGTCCACTTTTTCCAGGACACGTCCTCTTTTTCATGGGTAGAGTCATCACAGTGATCCATCGTTAAAAACAGAAGTCGGCAAATGTGTCCTCTTCTTTGCTCTTCAAAATATGGCATCCCTAATAGGATCTACTTTTGAATAAATACGCTTTATAATCTGGTTTTGTGTTGTAGGACTAAGGG